CCCTCCGCGCCCGTCACCGGCGCCCCGGCCCTTGCGCCGTGCCCCCGGCCGGCCCCGCTGCCCGGCGCCTCGCCGCGCGCTCACGCCCTCCCGTTCCGCCCGCAGAAGAAGCCTGTGGCGAAAGGCGGCAAGAAGAAGAAGCAGGTGCTCAAGTTCACGCTGGACTGCACGCACCCCGTGGAGGACGGCATCATGGACGCGGCCAACTTCGTGAGTGCCGCCGCGGGGCCGCGCCGGCACCCGGCCCTGCCGCCGGCTCCCGCTGCCTCACGCGCCCCTCGCCTGTAAAGGCCCCGCCGGCCCCAGCGGCCAGGGCTGGGCGCTGCCGCGGCCGGCGGAACAACAGGCTCCGCTTCCCAAGGCTCCCTGCGGGATGCAGGGAGCAGCCGTGAGCTCCTTGTCGTAACCGAAAGCTGGAAAAGGGGCAACGTGTTACCACGAGCCTTGACTCACGCTGACAGGCACTGCCCGCACGGACGTGCCAGGGCAAGGAGGAGCCGAGCTGGATCCCTTCTCCGGCCAGAAAGCGCTACCGTCCTCCTCTAGGCTTCACCCCTTTGCCTGAAAGGAAAGTGTGYCCTTGGTTTGCACTGGCAGGCAGAAACGCTACCTGGAGAGTAAACACGTGTCTTGTCCCGCACGTGTGCTTCTCCTAAGTGATGCCGCCAAAGCCCTGCTGGCAGCCAAGCCCAGCACCCRGCTTCTGCTGGCTAGCACCTGCTTAGCAAACTGCACTAAGTTACCTAATTAGTGGGTTCTTATCTTGTGCRCAGTTTACAGCTAGTTTGTGGACTCTTTTTTACCTGCTGAACAGTAGATTTTCAGTRTAACTTGGGAGGTTAGCTTTCCTATAAGCTTTAAGAAATGTCATGTGAGGACAGCAGCGACTTGCAGCRGTTTGAAACAGAGGGATCTGGGCACGTTATTGCTGGCACATCAAAAAGCAGGAAGTGCTGGTGAATCAGGAGAACACTTTATTTCTTTCACYGTTGGGAGGTCGCTTAAGCGCTGGCCTGAGTGGACCGTCCCTCACCAGCAGGATCAGCGACACAATGAGTTTGTAGGGTCACAACCCCCTACCCGCGAGGCCAAAGCCCCTCTCTGCTTTTCGTTGCCACGTGACCCCTTTGTGTGTTTCCCTGTTGTCACGCAGCGGCCCAAACGCTCGGGGCAAAGCGGCCGTGGGGCCGTGGAGCGGAGCCCGGCTCAGGGCCGCGCTCTTCTCTTGCAGGAGCAGTTCTTGCAGGAGAGGATCAAGGTTAACGGCAAGGCTGGCAACTTGGGAGGGGGAGTGGTGACCATCGAGAGGAGCAAGAGCAAGATCACCGTCACTTCAGAGGTTCCTTTTTCAAAGAGGTGAGGGCGCGGAAGCGGAGCGCAGCGCGGGCTGCAGGCTGCGCCTTGCCTGCCRTGCGAGCGCCCGCGCGGGCCTTGCTGGGAGGCTGCTCCCTTGGGCCCCGTCGCGCTGCGCTGCCTGGGAGCCGGGCGCTTCTTGAGGGGCAGGGATCAAAATCCACCCGGAGGGAAGAGCAGCGGAGGGTCCCCGCTTCCGTTGGGGCGCTGGCGAGGGCTTTGGGAAGTGRCGAGCAGCCCGGTGGCCGCTGCAGGGCTTTCCCGTCCTGCCGGTCACGTTGCCTGGTGTTTCCACGCGCTGTCCTGCCCCAGGGGTTCGGCTTTGYGCTGCGGGTCACTGCTGTGTGTTACCTCTCACATCACAGCTCTCCAGGAGAGCGAAGCACAMGTCTCAAGCGCGCTCAAACACAGCTGTGGTTTTGATGGGTGTGCGTTGTGTGATGCCAAGGGCGGGCCTGGCCGCGGCGGGGCGCCTCAGGGCCGTGTCCCCCCGCAGGTACCTCAAGTACCTCACCAAGAAGTACCTGAAGAAGAACAACCTGCGCGACTGGCTGCGCGTGGTGGCCAACAGCAAGGAGAGCTACGAGCTGCGCTACTTCCAGATCAACCAGGATGAGGAGGAGGAGGAGGAAGAGGACTAGCCGCCCCGCGCCCCCGCCCCGCCGCGTTTTGTACATTGTCCTTAATAAACGTGGGGAAACGCGCGCCCCTCGCCCGCGAACCGTGCGCGCGGGGCGCGGCCGAGGGCGGGGCTTCGCGGGGCGGGGTCGCGTGGAGGCGGGGCCTCACAGGG